GGAGGGGGGAAGGCGGGGGGATTAGGGTTAGATGTGGTCAGGAGGGTGAGATCCTGGTCTGATGAAAATAGCGCCCTTAAAAGAAGAATCACCAGAGAGCTTGTACTCTCTCTCTGCCCAGGTGCACCAAGGGGTCATGCGAGCACACGGTGAGCTGGTGGCCACCTACAACCCTAGAGAAGAGGCCTCAGAATGAAATCTACCTTGTTGGCACCTTGACCTTGAAGTTCCCAGCCTCCAGAACTGTGAGAAATAAATTTCTGTGGTTTAAGCCACACAATCTATGGTACTTTGTTATGGCGGCCCGAGCTAATACATTCCTGTATACAAACCACCATTTACCTTTGGGCACAAGGGAGACCAATATATATTCATCTTCAAAAACTAGCATGGGAGTTCAGCAACTCCACGATGTGATACCTATTGGGTCTTCAGGAAAGTCATGACGCATTTTTGCATTGAAAAACAGAAAAATACATCATGACTTGCCCGACGACCCAATATATAAAGAAAAACCACGAAATCACCAGATATGAACAACATGTGAAGGCAGCGACTTGATCTGTTTAGCTTTGTCTCTGGTGTCGTCAGCATCCAGCAATACTTGGTATGGAGTAGGAGATCAATAGATATTTGTTGAATGAATGAATGTGCTAACACAAAGATTATCACAGCTAGAATAAAACTCTGCAGAAGATTTTAGGAAAAATTTTAATTCCCTTCCATCCTCTGGGAATACATTAAACAGTACATGTTGGGATGAAAGGAGAATCAAGCATACAGTTTAAAGAGTTAGGAGAGAATCAATATAATCATTAAAAAACATCTTTAAAGTATGAATGCTTATGTAGTGTATACTTTGGAAAAGCCAAAATATTAATGTATACTTTAAAGACTTTTATCATTGTTAATGAGACAGGGGGATGGGGATTATAATGGTGGCACTGTATCTTACATTTTGAGATTTGGATATCAAGTATAATTCGAACAAACAAGTGTAATTTAGCTTGGGACTGTCTGAAAGCTTTCTTTTCTTCGCCTCCTTTCTGCCAGGTCTTGATGGCTCTGCTTGCTGTACATTTACTATGTATCCTAGTTTCAATGATTCTGTTTGCTCCGGCTGTGCTGGCCCTAAGCCTTGGGAGAGGTTTTGCATCTGTCTGGCTCCAAATTAAATCTACATAACATATGCAAAGGTTGTGATAACTAGTTTAACTGCTTCCCCCACCCCAACAGACAAAGCCAAACTCAACAGAAAACTCCACTACTCAACAGAAAATTCCACTACAGGCTGAAGCAATTTACATCCCGGTTAGAAAATACAAAACTTCAGGTGAAACAAGGACTCAAAGGAGTAGTTTCCAGCAGACTGCCCATGCGACCCTTTAGTTTAATAAATCTTCCTGCTGTATTTCTACCTGCTTTGTGAATTCTTTCACAGCCCTCGAGCAAGCAGCCACAACTGTCACACACTACTTATTGTTTGCTGAAACTACTCATGTACTTTGCATGTAACAGCATGACTGATCAGAAAGCCACTGGCAGTAACTCCTCCAAACTCAAGTTGCTTCATCATCTCACAGTATTTAAGAGTCCTCTGAAATTATTTAAGGAGAGCATGAAGTAAGCATACATTTGAATAAATGGTGTATAAAGATTAAGCATTTTAGAAGAGAATGTTACTTAAAAGTTGGAAAAACGGATAGGTTAAGCAAATATGTTGAATTTGGGTGATGAATATATGGGGGTCCATTGTATTTTCTGTTTTTGAGTATTTTTGAAATTTTTCATAATTAAGAATTAAAAATTTGAATTTTGAGAAAAAAGTGTGATCAACTAAAATCTCTATTAAAAGGATAATAATAAAAATATTTTAAGAAATAGTTATTACCTATTAGGATAATTTTAAGGAACACATGTACATTTTTATAAGAACATGGATCAAACCATTACCGAATAACATCTAATAAGCATCTCCAATTTTTGTTTTTAAATTTATGTTTTTTTGTCTTGGTGTTTTTTTGTTCATTTTTTGTTGTCTTTTTAAAAAATTATTGGTCTATGTTTTCTTATTTGTTGTTCGTTTTTCTTTTTATATTTTTATTTTAACTTTTTCTTTTTTATTTTACTTTTCTAGGACCTAATTTTCATCTTTGTGGAACTGCTTCATGATGGAATGCTATTCCTGGCTTCTAGAGGTTGGGAATATAATGATGCTGCAACTTTCCTCTACTCATCTAAACCTGCTATTGTAAACAATGAATTAGCACCCAAAACCTCTTAACCTTCACTGTCTGTCACTTTCAAAGAGTTGCCTCCCAAACACATTCACACCACTCCTTTGTTACTCACAGCCCACAACTCTAACTCTAGCTAACGTGCATTTTTGTGGGCTGTTTGGGTGGGACAGGTAGGAATTCAGACAGGTGCCCCTGGCTAGGGCATTTGGGGGGGGCTGAAAAAGGGAGGGGCTGAGGGGTAATGGTGCCTGTTCAATGAATGCCCCAACTGTTAACGCCCATAAAGCTGATGGCTTTACTCTTTTATTGCCATAATATCACCAGGCTGCAAAGATAATGTCACTGCTACTCCCAAGAGAAAAAGTGTGGCTAGAAACTTCTTCAATCTCTTCACCTATCTATTTCCATCTAAACTGTTAAAAAGGCTGAGAGGGAGAAAGATGTGAACAGTTGTAACTACTGAAGTCTAGGTATCTTGAATGCCTCTAAAATGCACCAAGGTTTCCTGTGTCTTTGGGGAAGCTGCTAGAAAGTATCAGGCTAGGAAGTCAAAAGCATTTGGCCAATCTCAACTTTTCAATATATCTGAGATTAGAGAGAATTTTTAAAATCAACATAATATCTGCTGTACTGATTGATAGAGAAGTGTATTTATACAGAAACAACGCATTACTATCCTAGACCACTGGTTGAATCCTACCAATATTTGTTAATGAAATGAACTATTATGGAATGAGACCTAAATTACAGATGCATGTGAGAGAAAAGGCAGTGAGAAAAAGGGGAGAGCAGACAGGGAGGGGGAGGAGGAGGAGGGGGAGGAGAAGGAGGGGGAGAAGAAGAAATAATGCTTATGAGTGCCAAGGACACATAGCTGAAGATTAAAAGCAAAGCAAAGAAAAAAGGAATCAGACCAATTGGACTGTCAGGACTGTCCAAAACAAGAGCAAAACAGTCCAAATGCATGTCCTTCTATGGTTTTAACTTTGCGCATATCAACACAGCTACTTTCTCTGGGTGGTAGATCAATAAATCCACATATTCCAATGGATTGATGACTGAATGTACAACGGAAATAAAGACCTGTGAACTTAAAGAGAACCACTGCCTCTGGCTAGATGACACATGATTTAAGCTACTGGGTGCTCAGATAAATTTTCATACTGCCAAATGGCTGTCTAGGTAAGAATTCTGCCATGTAACACGCAATCAAAGATGTAAAATTATCATTGGTACAACTTACGATTCAGGAGTATATCCAGAGAAAGAACCTTTATACATCTAACCTTTATTGCTAGGGAAGCACTGACTAAGAATGAGAAATTATCGAGACAAGGAACCACCTGTACCCACTCAAAGCAGTAAGAAACAGATGTTGAATCAGAAAAATGATACTCAGCTTAAAAAAAATTAGCAAGTACCAGTAATGAGAAGAACTGGACAAAACATGTGAAAACCAGTGAAGTATTCTAAAAGATATCATAATTGAGGGGCAAAAATAAAATGTTTCACAGAGAACACATGCAAAGAATAAAAATGCCCCAGTGTAGTTTTATAAAGTTTGAAATTCTGTGTTAAAAACAAATGAACTAGAAACAGCTCAATTTATATGTGATGTGCCTTGCCATCTAGAAAATAAAAGGTAAAATCAAGTTTAAAAAGCAAAATGAACTAATGCTATTAAATTAAAGAAAATGAACACAAAGGACCTAATATGAATAAATCTAGGTGGAAATAGACCAAAAAAATGGCTAATAGAGAAAGAAGGTTTAAATGTAATGATAACCAGAAGTATACTTTGAAATTGGGGGGCGGGTGGGGTAATGGGGAGAGGAGCGAGGGGGGGGGAGTAAGTAGGCTTGGACTTAAAATGAAAAAAGGGAGATGCAACATCTGGAATTTTGGAATAAATGTAAGTCAGCAAGTCTGAGAGACATGCATCTTGTTATTAAGGGAACCGGCTTTAACTCCCTTCCCCCCCCCAAAAAAAAAACAAAACAAAACAAAAAAAGTTACCAAAATCACTTGCAATTATGGTTAAAAACTCATGAAGAACTAAGGAGGTACCAGAGGATTAGAAAAAAACAAATGAGGTACCAATCTTCAAAAATGTAAGAAGTACGCACTTGGTGATTACCGCCTGGTAAGTCTAACTTGAATCCCTAGTAAAATGGAACAAATAGTAAAAGAAAAAAATCCACAAACATTTAGAGTTTAATGGGCTTATAGTTGTATGGAGACTGCTTTATTTATGTTAAAACACACTTTAAAATTTTGATTTTTAGGACAAAATTTTTAAAAAGGGAATATAGCAAATACATTTCATGTCTCTGGATTTTACAAAAGCATTTGTGAAAATTTCATAAAATTTTAATTCGAAATCACATTTCCAATTAGGGGTTGATGTCATGATATAATGAATAAAATACACCAACAAAAACTGACAATAGTTAAAAGATATAACTGTAGGATAAGATAAAAAGCAGTGAATCAAGTTAGGTAGTGATTTCCAAAATAAGTACTAAGCATTATTTAGACTCTTCGCTAATGTCTGCGAGGATGGATAAATAAATAATAAAGTAATTTATTTGTAATTGTGGATGACAGCAAACATGAAAAACATGACTATTGAGAAACTTGTATCAAAATAACACCAGATACTGGCTATCAAGTGGGGAAAAAGAAAATCAATAGGATTCAAGCGTGAAGGGGACTAAATCTTCTGAGTAAACTATGTGTCCAGAGCCATCCTAAATATTTTACCTGTATTTTATCATTTCTTTTTCACCAAAACTCCATGTTCTGTATTATTATTCTCATTTGACAGATGTGGGAAGTGAGCCTCAGTGACTTATGGGAACTTGCCCAAGGTCTAACAGTTAGTTATTGGCACAGCAAACTTGAACCCAGGTCTATGTGACTCTCAAGTCCATGTTCTTTCCACAAAACCATGCCATCTGCCTTGGAACACTGGAAAATAATTTCTGGTGAATGGAAAATTGGAACCCTAGTATTCAAGGGAAGTAAGAAATGTACAAAGATAATGGATTAAAAAGGAATAGTCACCGACAAGAGGCAAAGAACTTTTGACTTCACAATCTGACAGCAACAGAGAAAGAAAACTTGACAGTCTAAATGGCCAGAGCAGAGACTTTCTTTTCTTTTCTTTTTTCACTTACAAAACAACCATGGAGTTAAGAGCACTTCATTAACAGAAAAGACAGTGACAAAGTAGCACGTTGCAAAGAGCAGCAAGAGTCAAAGAATTCAACGTGTAAAAAGTTGGCTGAACAAAACCAGAAAGGCTCTGTGTCACATTAGCAGTGTTTAAATACATAACTATTAGAGAGGGGACTTGTTCCTGCACAGGCTATTGCAATCAATGACAATTTCAGCAATGGACTTAGATGTACTAGAGTTAAAATGGGTAAAGGGAAATTAAGGTTGGAATTACATATCAAAGACCCTTCTTTGGAAGCAAATTCTGAAGGCTAGGAAAGAATACTTTTAACGTTCTCTTTAAGTAGATTAGTTCAAGGGATATTTAGAATGTAAGCTCTTTGAAGTCAACAGCCTTGGATATTTTGGGGGGAGGGAGGTAGTGTTTGTTTGCCATGGAGAGCAGCTAGCACACTTAGTTACTTGCTAAATATAAAACATTAAATATTCGAGTTTTGAATTCTCCCGAACACCAAAACTCATATTACCAAATACTACACAAGACAACCAGTTAAGTCTTTTTTTCATTTCCTGAATTCATGTAAGCCATGTAAATCACTTGATCAAACACAGTGGCTGAGAAAGTTACAATTCAAGCTTCTGAGCTTACCAGAAACTATATCAGAGAGTACAAATGCCAAAATAAATATATTGAAACTAATAGTTGCAAGTGACACATTATATATGAAATATCTACATCCCTCATATCAAAGCATCAAATAGCAGGAGCAGTACTCTCACTGCTTCCCTAACACTTCAAAAAGACGTTAAAAAAAATCTACATGGAAGAAAGCAATGGTTAATCTCAAATACTGCTAACAACAACAGTAAGAGGGCAAATGCTGATCATTAAGAGGTGGAAATAAGGGGCAGCCAGGTGGTTCAGTTGGTTAGTGCGCGTGCTCTGAGCAACAGGGTTGCCAGTTCGATTCCGACATGGGCCAGTGAGCTGCACCCTACGCAACCAGATTGAAGATAACGACTTGAGCTGAGCTGCAGCTGAGCCTCCAGTGGGCCGCCAGATGGTAGGCGGCCACATGGCTCAGTTGGTTAGAGTGCGTGCCCTTAATAACAAGGTTGCCGGTTTGATTCCTGCATGAGATGGTGGGCTGTGCCCTGCCGCACCCCCCCCCCACCCCTCATCCCCGCAAAACGGCAACTGGACTTGGAGCTGAGCTGTGCTCTCCACAACTAGACTGAAACAACTACTTGACTTGGAGCTGATGGGTCCTGGAAAAACACACTGTTCCCCAATAAAATTTCTCAAAAAAAAAAAAATGGTGGAGATAAAATATTTTGTCTTTATTTTAAAGACAGCATCTGCGATGTTAATTATAGCAGTTTCTAAGATTCATAAAACTCCAAATCACTACATATAACAAATGTCATCTGTTGAGAAACTAAAATACCGCCCAATACCCAATATGAAAACATTTCCAACATTAAGCTACTGACAATAGTATGTTTCATAAGATGTCTGAACAAAAGAAAGGTTATTTGTGAACTACTGATATTTCTTTCCTAGAATATTTTGGTCAAAGCGATAGATATGCCTCTCAACCCAGTTCATCATTTAAATTCTACTGCCTCTATCACAACATAATCACTATCAGGAAAAGAGCATTCATAAATTCCTGCAACCTCTACTCTTAGATTCTATATCCAAAAAGACCTCTGTGCCTTCATTTTCATGCTTTCTATTTTATGTTATTAAGCTGTTCAAAAAGCAGGTGCATAAAATATGTACTGTGAAAGAGTAAAGCTAAAAGACTTTCCATTTGAGGAATGGAAATAAAAATTTGAATGAAGTCTCCAAATAATCCAGAACTTACCTGTTTGGGATTTGATGACTGAAACTGTGCAGATACTGGACGCTATAAAAGACAGAAAAATGGAATAAAGCCTTATCTTCTCCTAACATGCCTGTATTTTCAAACTCCTACATCTATAATATAAAAAGGAAAAGATGGTCTCCATGCAGAAACCACAAGCAGGAGGCCTACACTTCGTGCTTGGAAGATCAGAGCATTTATTCCTCACACTGCTTTCTCCTATGGCATAGCTAACTCAGTTTCCTCTTCTCACCACTGAGGGCACTATCCTCCTTTCACGTACTGAAGATCCTGACGATAACTACTCCCTCTGATAAATGTGTTTCACATGGTGTGCAAAGCTAATCTATAGTTTCTTTAGCCTTTAAGAAATGTCCCATGGGACGCTTATGGATGAGATCTGCTATTACCTTCCAGGTAGCAAAACAAATGGTGATAGATTCTCTATGATTTGCAAAGAGTCACCAACACAAGCTGACAGACGAGTTCAGAAAAGGGATAAATTCACCCGAGACTGACATACAGCTACTCCTAAATTGAAACTTGGCAGAAGTTTCGTGAAAGCTGCACAGATACAGTCACAATCCTTTATACTCAATCCTGTGGCCCTTGCCACAGATACTGCAGGAAACAATTTGTAAAGGAATGTGATTGCCTAAGTTCAGTTTTCCTACGGCACCTAGGTTAATCCTCTACTTTTTCTTATTAAAAATTAAAGAAAACCCTTTGATCTGCGATGATGGACTGATCAAGCACACATCTGTTGCCTGGTTTTACTTCTAATCGAGTACCCCTTAAAATGCAGTACACCCCGTTCTACATCACAACACTCTCTAAGGCAGGAGGTCACAGGTAGGCAGCCCACAGGCTGAACTCAGCACAAAGACATGTTATGTTTGCTCTTAATGATCAACTACTGAACCGGTTGCCGATACTTTAAACTAAGAGTTCTGATTCCTCTTGACAGTAGGGAAATCTGACAACACTGGGCCCACATGCACACCCAGCAATGAGCAGCCAGAGCTTGTTGTTACACTAGTAACGCCGCTGCCCCTTTTCACAGGGGGCACACACTCTCCAGCCTCCTGCAGTCACAGCACTCAGCTGCACACACCTGGCCTTGCTTCTTCATTCACACTGTGCCTGCAGCCCCTACAGGCACTTGAGTTTAAAAACCTTGCTCTAATGAAGTTATCTGAATAAATAATATTACATGAGCATGGCAGGCAGAAATAGCACTAAGTCTATATGAGACCAGCAAGCAAAAGGAAGAGGAGGAGTAAGGGGAGTGGGAGGAGAAAAGGGATTAGTGGGGGACTAAAGTGGGGGTGGGGGAGGGAGGCAGGAAGCTGTTTCTGCCTTCAAAGAGCTTACAGTCCAGCAGAGGCGTACTGGACAATTTGAAAGCAACCAATCAATGAATGCAAAACAGTGTAATAGGGAACAAGTAAATAATAATGAAATTAATAGTAAAGGTCATGACAGAGTGGGATGGATTTAATAGGAAACAATCTCCAAACTTCTGAGCAGGCAAGGTAATCAATCCAGGTGCGCAGAGAGGAGGAAGGTGGACTTTTTTAGGGAAGGAGAAATGTTAAAGGCAAAGAAACAGGAGTGGAAACTAGCCAGGTCTAGGCAGGCAGGACTGATTAGATGGTGGAATGAGCAGAGAGAATGATTAGCTGATTGCTTTCACCGAACAAAAATGCAGAGCACACAAAGACCAGAGCAACACTTGATCAAATGATGTTTCAGACATGCACACATTTCCATAGGCATTTTATCTCATTTAACCTCTATCAACACCTCATCGCCATTGAGGGTTCTTTTGAAGAGAATCACTTGTAGAGAAGATATTATTTCAATTGAGCATCTTCTTTATGAGGCTAGTCTGAAGATCAAAAGGAATGTGACAGTGATGACTAGGAATTTGTAGGCTCCCTCTCTGTGCCTTGTGTATGATTAGAGCAATTTGAGGGGAGCGGGGGGCGGGGTGGAGGGGGGGAGAAGGGTGATTTTTAAAGAGAGAGAGAAAGGAAAAAGGAAAAATAATGGGAAAAGAAGTAAAAAAAAAAAAAAAAAGCAGAGAGTAAGTTTGTTTGAAAGCATTGAAAGCGTAAGCTATTAGCCACAGCTGAATATAACTGCCTCCTGTCTAGAATGATCCCCAAATTCTCCTGCTCTGAGTGACCTCACACCCATGGAACTTCAGCTCACTCATGTACATCAGCCATCACTTTCCAGTAAGCCTCCTTTGGGTTCCCTGCTGCTGCATTTGCTTACCTGAGGTTTCTGGAAAGGGTTTCGCTTGCAAGACTCAAAGGTGGGATAAATTGGCCGGGTTGATGCCCGCTGGGCAGGATCTTGGCACACAAATCCTGAATGGGAAATGTGAAAAGTTAAAACCTGCCATTTTCTAAGAAATTAGCAGGTTTCGCTGCACCTTTTCTTTAGATGCATTAACTAGGTTTCACTGTCATAAATATTACAAAGATCCATCCTCAAAAGGTTTAGACATGACTCTCCCATGCACATACTCCGTTTGAACTTCGAACCACCATAATTGGAGAGAACAAGAAAGGAAAATGTGCAGATAAATCAGCCTCCCTTGTTGGGGAGCTGAAATGTGATTCTGACGGCAGAAAGAGATGTGGAGTTTTGATGAACTTCAGAGCAAAGGTGCAAACCACCATTTAAAAACACAGTTGTCAACAAAAACAAATTATTATAAAGTGGCTTCCTGGATAATAACTGGGAAATAAGATTGTTTTTACCAGGAAAATCCAAAAGCAAGTGAGGAGTCTTGTCCTGTTATAGGATCTACTTCTAGAACTGCCGAAGGTGGTCTACTGGCAACCTTCAAAATGGGTTTTGTAGCTTATCTATTGCTTAAGAGATTAGGTTTGGGCTAATTTCACTTACATCCTAAAAAGGAGCCGATTCCCACCCAAGGAGAGTAGCTAAGTTTTACAGCATACGCTGGTACACCAAGTACTAGTTCATTTCAAATGTATTTTATCATGTCTTTGAGGGTACTTTTTGACAACAACAACAAACCCACAATATACCCTCCTGACTGTCCATCTCCATTTCAAAGTTTTGGCTTCTCTACTCAACAAGGATGTCTTCCTTGAGCTGCTGCAGTTATAACTCCTTCAGTTATAATGACTACGGAAGATGGTCCTGACGCCAGTAGAGGCTGTCTAGCAGAAACACAGCCCGTCTCCATTGTAACAGAGCTCCTTTAGTGGGTCTCGCTATCCCAGCTCAGAGAAAAACACACTTTCTCCAGCTCCGAAGTTAAGAGTGTGCTTAACACTCTTGCTCAGCTCCGAATTCCTGTGCCCAGGAATTAGGTCTCAGCCCGAGTTGTGGTTCAACCTCAGGACAGGATGGAGCCAGGGGGAGTAGAAACACATAAACACTTCCCTGAAAATATAATTTTTTCAGTACAAAACATCCAGCATGGCTTAGGAACTGCCAATTGGCAACACCTATAGAGCCTGACAAAATGGATGCTCTGGGTAACTTTTATGGGAGCTTTCAGAAAACACCAGTACTCACCTACAACAGTGAACATGTCGGAAATCATACTGGCTTTAATCTTGAGGTCCAGAGGTGCATCACTGACAGAACAGAGAAAGGAAAGAGCAATCGATAATTTCATAGGTTAACAGAATAGCTGCCCTGAATGGGCCCCAATACAGCAAAGCTTCCAAATGTCAATGAGCTGCAACACATAAAGCAGAGCAAATCTGTGGAAAAAGAAATCTGGGCAAAAATACTAGAAATACAAGCCCGGCATTAAACTCATCCTCTGTAAGGCAGGCCCGGCACCAAGGCATTAACTCCCTGACATGCAATCCTTTTAGTCCAGAGGTCTTGTGCAATTCACATTTTGCACAAGTCAAGAATACTGCTTCATTATCACTTTGGATTTCAGAGGTTCCTTTATGAGTGTGCCCACCGTTCAAATTCTTTTTTACTGCTGCAGTAGTCAAAATACATTCACATGGAAGAAAAGAAACTTTGGCCATCTTTGTATTTTTTCTAAGGCCTCATTTTCTGTTCTAAATCAATCTTTTTACGCTTACAGGCTTGTAAAGGAGGGCAAAAAAAATACAAGTTACACCAAAATATCACCAGATGATGCAGCAGAAACCCACATGAAAACAGCACAACATGGGCTGGAAGCTGGAGGCCGCCCTGCGGCGGTGGCTGCCATGTTGGCTGTGGTGTTTCTCCATGGACCAAATTACTCTGGCTGCTGGACCCAACACGCCATTCTGGGCATCTCTAACATTGTATGATAGACCTTGCTGGGAAATGTGCAAAAAGCTGACCGCACAAAAATGTAACACAACATCTGAAGCATCTGTAATATCTAGCTCCACACCTTACTACTGGGGTTAAGCCAAACTCCCACCCCAAAAAACAGTCAACTTGTCTTTATTCAGTTACTTGGCATTTTGTCAATATCTCTCATCTTAAAAATGCAGCAGCTGGGTGGTCTCTGGAATAAATCTCTGGCTGTTTAGAGAAGTATATAGCTAACAGAAACTCTGGCTGTAGCTGCAGATATAAGCAGAATATTCTCTGGTCCCGAAAAATACATTTCTTTCCTTATTCTGAATAGGTTAAAAAAAAATTTTTTAATTGTTTGAAGTTTTAGACTTTAATCTTGGATGGATACCAGAACATGAACAGGTCAAAAGGACCAGCTATTATATATAATATCCTCAGCCCAGTTCTATATCTTTATAGTATATGTGGACTTGAGTCTGTATAACCCTTTTATAATAAAGAAAATAATATATTTATATCATGTATTTCTTTAGCCTCAGCAGAACACCAACAAATGGAAACAGAACACAAACTGACTATAAGATAGGGATCCATGGTTGCCACATGGAATTGACAACATACCACAAATTCCCATATTCAGAAATTCTAGACATCTCTAATAACTAGGGGTGAAAAATCTCCTAGTGCCAAGAAAAATGATCCCCCCGCAAAAAGGGGGGGTCTGATGCTCCTCACTGGAGGTCTTCTCTAGCAGATGGACCAGACTACTTACCAGGCCAAAGAAGGAGAGAGATTCACTTCCAACAACCATGGCTTCAGAGTAGAATCTATGAGCACGTCAAAGCCATAGAGTTCTAGAAATACAATGTAACACAATACACAAAATCATTTTCCATGTTACAGCCAAAGATCTGGAAGATTCAATCTAGTCAACTCCCATCAGAGGCCTACAAACTTGCTGAGTATAAGTAATAAGTGGAAGTAGAAGCAGAGATTCTAAGTTCAAGAGAAATTAATCAAGCTCTAGAGATAATAAGAAAACAGTGCTATAAAGTTCTACTGTTTTTATCATCTATTCTATTGACATTCCTGAGTTCTACACAGAAAGTGCCCTGACTAGCGGTTACCAAGCATGATTCTGCTGTGCTTATGGGTAAAAAAATGTTGGGAAAAGGAATGCAATGAGAGCATCCAGTATCAATGCTACTTTGGGCTTGTTCTATAGAATCTATGTTGTCCCCCAACACTTCCCCTCCACACTCTGAAAACAGAAAAATCTACTGAAGGCATTTCTCTAGGATTCTTCCATCACATTTTATTAAACCAAGATCTTGCTTTTGCAACCTAGGTCAAGAAGACATCTAAGTGTAAAATATGAGAATATTTATTCTGTCCCCTCTCCTATGGTTTCAATTTCCCTTTGAAGACAGAAAATAAAACGCACTGGCCTAACATAGAAAGACAGAAGAGAGAGGAGAGTGGCAGCAGAGCAGGACCGTGACAAGCCATCTTGTACCACTAATATTATTTAAGCTATCTTGCACCTCTGGGAGGGAGCCAGAGATCGCATTTCCACTGTTTCTGGATTCTTTACTGATTCTCTCCCCTTAACTCCCCAAGTGTTGCAAAGAGCAAAGCAAGAACCAACAGCAAGCTTTTCTCCCAGAATGCAGGGGTGAGAGGCCAACTGTGGAACCTAAGCTGGCACCCTTTACTGTCATTATTATTACTGAGACCCTCTCCAGTCATCCTTGGTATACATATACCAAATGTGTCAGACTTTCAGAAGTCCCACCCATTCCCAAATATCCTACTGTGTCCCTCAAACTGTCTATACTTTCCTTCCGGGAAGAAAGACTAGCTTCCCTTACAATTCAACCCGAGGTCACAGGCATAGCTCCCATGAACAGAACACAACCAGGCATTTTCAAGAAATTAATTCTGAAATAAATTTCTTTACTATAAGGATGTTCCCATCTCTCAGTCCTCTCAGGAACATAGGAAAATAAATGTAGGCTTCTGAAAAGATGGTGTTAAAGACTCTCTTCTAGAACAGGAAGTCTGATGGAATACCAGGAATCCTAGCGTGGGAATCAGGAGACCTGGAACCTCCTGGTGACTCTACCATTGACTCACGGCGGGACTTGGGGAAGTCATTTCTCTGCTATCTCTTTCGCATCCTTTGGTTTCTCAGCTCTCTGTTAGTCACCATGTGTCAATACCTGTATGCAAAGCAAACCTATATCTACAACTCCTGTTTCTACAATGTGGATTCAAGTAGATGTTCATATTCAGATTCTCTCTCATGTTTCCATGAGTGAGTGGCTTCTATTAATACTTATTTAGGAGTCAATTCAATTTACAAAAATAATCACAAACTGTAAGAGTCTGAGTTGGGATTCACCTTCATGTAAATACACAAAAATTACCTATTATCTATACTTTAAAATGTAAAGAAAGCTCCTTCACCTGTCTTCTGTTGGTAACAAATCCATAGCTGTTACGGCCAGGACATTCTTCTGAATGGTAGTTTACCTAACCTTCAGTCATCCCACAGGATATTCTTTCAACTTGAGAAAACTCTTTTGTCTTAAGACACTAAATAAGGCATTCAAATGGAAAAACCTAACTGCAAAATCTACAAGTCCATGTTAATATCACACAAGCAAAGAGAATTCAATGTGAGTCTGAGTCAAGAAAAATAACATTCACTTCAGTTTTTAGAAGCTGAAGCACATGGATTCAACTGTTTCATAAAGTGGTTAATACTATTGATAATAATAGTATGAGGAACAGGGTGAGAATAATGATGGACACACATATAAATGGACACACATATAAATCAGATTTGCAGGTTCAGCCACAAATGAAGACAAACTGAAATCAGAATAACAATCAACGAGACCCATTATTTAAACACCTCACATTAAGCAGCCAACAAATTTGCTAAACTATTTCCCAAATTAAGAGGCACATTCCAAAAATCTCAACTGAAAGGCTGAGAAGTAACATTCTGGGAAGTAAAAAAAAAAAATGACCCAAAGAGAGAAAACACCCTTTATAGTGACAACTTAATTTTTACTTGGGGAATAAATCCTGTCAGTGTTAAACAACCTCTTAATCAGCTTTGAATCTATATGTGTACAGGCACCAAGCTTAGATCTACTATCATTTAAGAGTGGGGTAAACATGTGACAGCATTACAATATGGTGCAAAGCCCAGCTCACCTACGAGGCTGGGTTTGGGGGAGAGAAACAGAGTGAAAAGAGCATTTTTATCAGGTTTATCTCTTAAAATAATCAACTCAGCTGGAGAAAAATAATGTGGGTCCTTGGCAGGCTACCAGAGTCCTTATAACCCTTTTAACTTATGATTAGTCTTTTCTGTAGACATTAAAGGTTTTAACAGGTAAGAAGTATGTTGTACTGAGAATATCAAACTGCCTCACCTTCTAATGTTGTGTATTTTAGCAGCAGGATCTAGAATTTCAAAAATTCAGTATCCAGGATGAGATCTGCCAGTGTTTCTGTCATTCAAGGAGGTAGGCAAGCTAGGCTTTTCCAGTTCTGAGAGCTACTTTTTTTGTTCCCCTGTGTTGTCTTCATCATGGCAGTAAGAGCAAGCATTTTCAAAGAACGGTTGCTAACACCTTCATCAACCAAGTTTCCTCAGGAAAATTTTCCTCGATGAGAAATACTTCCATCAGCCCCCAGCCAAATCAAAACAAATTTGAAAATTACACTAGTGAACGGTAAGAAGCTTGACTCCATTTCCTCCTTTACATTAGGACCCTTACCTCCCTATTTCTTTAATGCAGCTTCTTGAAAAAGCAATCTACACTTAATTGCCTTCACTTTCTTAATGCCTATTAGCTCGCCAACTCATAAGAATTTGCTTCTGCTCCCACTATGATCACCAAAGACCACCGTACTGCTAAGCCCCAGCACCAGAAACTATTGGCCACCCCTTACTCATTGGAACTTTCTTCTCCCTTGGTTCCAGCACACTGCTCTCTGCTGATTCTCCTCCACCTTCCTCTCCTTCTTTCATTTCTTCCCTTCTGCCCAGCTATTCACTGGTAAGTTTGCTCAGGTCTCTTTCCTTCTCGATTCTACTTTTCTTCTTGGGTGATCACATGTATTCTCATGGCTGAAATTCATGTTATGATGAGGACATTCCAAATCTACATCTTTGATCAAGTGTCTCCTGGACACCAACTTCATAATTCCAACTGCCTTCTAGACAACTTCACTAGGATATCCCACAGAGACTCAACCCTCAATGAAACACAACTCGTTCTCTTTCCCCAAAACCTGTTTGGCTTCCCATAATTCTTCGTCTTGGAAAACAGTAACCCATCCACCAATCTGCAAAGCTGGAGACACTCTCTTCACCACCTCCCAAATCCAACACATCACTAGATCTCTTCTCTCTGTTTCTCTTTAATCCAACCTTCTATTGGGTTATCGGAAAAGTCATAATGCATTTTTGCAACGAAAAACAGAAAAACTACGTCATGACTTTTCTGACAACCCAATATTGTTATTACCTTCTGAGGTATAATTCACATAAAATGAAATGGACAGATCTTAAGTGTACAATTTGATGAGTCTTGATAATTGGATACATCCATGTAACCCACACTCATATCAATCCACACAGAACATTTCCATCACACCAGAAATATCCCTCACGTTTCTTCCTGGTAAACACCCTCCTTCCCACATCACCCCCACCAATCACTATTCTTATTTCTTCCATCATAGATTCATTTTGCCTATTCTAAAACTTCATATAAATGGAAGCACACAGTACATACCTTTTGAGTCTGGCTTCTTTCATTTAGCATATTATTTGCAGTTCATCCAACTATCACTGTTTCTTGTTTTAAGACAGGTTTATTGAAGTTTATTTACAAACAATAAAATTTAACCATTTAAATTGTTCAGTTTGATGAGTATTTACAAATGTATACTGTTGTTTAAACGCCACCACAATCAAGATACAGAACAATTCTATCACAAACATCCCCTTGTGTCCTTTTGTAATCACTCCTTACCCCCTTTCCACCAAGAATCACTGATTTCACTTCTGCGTGTTCCAGAAAGTCAAATAAATGGAATCATGTAGTATCTGGCCTTTTAAGAGTGGCTTCTTTCACTTGGTATTATACTTTTGAGATTTATCTATGTTATTACATGTACCAGTAGTACAGTTCATTCCTTTTATTACTGAGTAGTATTGCAATTTACAGACATACTACAATTTATTTATCCATTCAACAGTTGAGAAACATTTGTGTTGTATCCAATATTTTATAATTATGAATAAAGCTGCTATAAACATTCGTGTACAGGTATTTGGGTGAACATATGGTTTCATTTTTCTTGGGTAAATACCTAAGCTTGGGATTGCTGGGCCACATGAGAAGTGTAGTTTATAACTGCTTACTTCTTTCCTCCCAAATCATTTCCCTAGCGTTTGTCTCTCCCCACGGTAGTCCATTCTCCACACGGCCTTTCTAAGACTTAAATCTAACAGAGACAGGCAATGAGTTGGCCCAGCAACAGACACTGATGTCAGGATGGTTCCTGGAGGAGTTTAAATTAGCCACTTCTAGTAATGCTGAACAGTTTCTCATTTGTTGCAATTCTATCATACCAAGTTTTGGGTCAAATTATGATAAATGTTAAAGAAAATGGTAGTAATCTTACTGCTCCCGTGCTCTAAAAACTCCAATGGCTGTCTGCTGTCTACAGGATGAATTTAAACATGTCAGGCCTTTACTACTGAGCCCTAATCTACTTCCATAACATTTCCTGCCACCCCATCCTAGGCAGGCTATATCTAGTT